CTAATTCCCTCATTTTGCAGATGGGACACTTCTCCCCGATCTCCTCCTGTCCAATCCTAGCCTTGCTCTTCAAGAGCAGATGAGGGTTCCTTGGTGAAGGAGCTCACAATGAACTGAATGTGCTTCATGAATCCAAGTGGTCCAGTTTGAGAGTTTTTGGATTTCAGGGACCAACTGAACATCCCTGCCTCATCCCAAGAGGTAGCAGCCTTTCAGTTCAGTGAACATCAACAGCTAAGGAACTGATGGAATATCAAGGTTTCCTGTAGAAACACGTGGCAGAATCAGACTGCTTGCCCCCGAGTCTGAGAAATTCACAGACAATATTTCTGAAATCCAACCTCCTTTGGGGAGGGAAGATCTAAATTTTCCAGCCAGTGTGATGATAGAAACTAGTTTTCTGGTAGAGAGGGGAGAATTATGGGGCAGTGCCAGCTTTGGAGGCTGCCTCCAGAGGAACTCCAAGGTCAAGAGTTTGGTGATCTGACATTCTAAGGGGAGAAGGCGATTTTCTGAGTGTTGTACTTGTTGTGGATGGAAAAGGATTACCCATGTAATGAAGAGTAGGGAGATACTTCAAACCACAATAAAGAGGACCCAAAGACCTGAACTTTGCTCCCTGCTGTTACTGTGAATAGTTAGGACAGTAGCAGTTCAGTGAGTGTGTTTGCCTTCCAAGGAAGAAATCTAAACATTGTTCCTACAAATCTGAGGGGTACTGTGTAAGATGAGGGATTCCACCAGAATGTCAGGGTGTTGTCAAGTTTGTAAACTTCTAAGGGGAGCTTAGAGGTAACGGAGCTCTTTTTAAGTGTTATCTGTGTCTGTTTATGGGCTCCTGAGACCTTTGTACCACCTGTATTTTCTGTCAGATAAAGTAAAAGCTATCTTTTTACCCAGTATCCACTTTATTTTCTTTAGTGCTTGTAGACCTTGTGACCTTGTTGCTCACATTTGGGGAAACCCAGACATAAGCACATTTAGAGATTTCCTAGAGTAAATCCTGTGCGGGGCCATAATGAACTGAAGAAAATACTACCACTCCTCCCTGCCCTCTTTTTTGGAGAGTCTAAACTATGAGTTAAAATATAAGGAAGGAAATAACATTAAAAGGCCACTGAGCAATGATCATTCTTCGTCCTGGAAGACAAGGAATGAACCATAATTTCTTTCTCTAGGTGGAGGGGGAGCTTTCTAGGTGGGTGACACTGCATTGTCTGTCAGACCCGGGAGCTATTTCAGTAGATTTTGCCTGTTTTCCTTTGTTACAAGGGAGGTTTTAATGGAAGTAGGGAGGTTGAAGTGGGAGTATGAATGAATAAAGCATTTATTAAGTGCTTATTATATGCAAAACACTTCGGAGAACTGTTGAGACGAAAAGAGAGTCCCTAGTCTCAGGGAGCCCACACTGTTAGAGAGAGACAACACAGGTGGAAGGTTTCAGCTGCAAGTCAAATGGGAAAATCCCTTGGGCCTTATGGTGTACCCAATAGGAATAATCATAAATGACTGGTATAACAAGCAAGTTATGGATTAAATTTTAAAATGGGGAGGAAAGGCAGTGTGATCAAGACAATTGTCTAATCAATTTGAGCTTATAGGGAGGAGAGAGATTTTTTTAAAATCCTCTTTGAAAAAAAGTTTTATTTTTACATCTTCTTTTTTGAATATAACCTCTCCCCTTCCCATTTCAGAAAAAAGTGTAAAAGAGTTCTCAAAAGAATTGCAAATTAACAAGCATGTGAGATTGCTCCCAAATCAGTAATAAGAGAAATGTAAGTCAGAACAACGGTGAGGATTCTTACACTTAGCAAATTGGTGAGAGGACAAGAGATGAGAATAGTCAATGTTGGTAGAACTATTAAATGGTCCAATCAGTTGTAGAAAGCAGTTTGGAATTATGCTAAGAAAATGACTAAAATGTTTATACACTTTGAACCAAAGACCCCTTTCCAGGTCAAAGTGAGAGTCAACTAGCATGTATATAGCACCTACTGTGTTGATCCTCACAACAGCCCGGTGGTAAGTACTTTTACTATCTGAATTTTACAGTTGAGGAAACTGAGGGAAACAGGTTAAGTGACTTGCCCAAGATCACAAAGCTAGGAAGTGTCTGAGGCTGGATTTTGAACTCAGATCTTCCTGCTTCCAGGTCCAGCTTCCATCCACTCCACCACCAGATTATGAAGGGCTTTAAAAGCCAGACAGAGGATGTCATATTTGATGCTACAGACGCTAGAGTTGATTGAATAGAGGGATGTCATGGTCCTACTTGTCACTTTGACGGCTGAATGGAGTGAAGAGACTTGAAACACAGAGACCAGCCAGAAAGCTATTGCAGTAGTCTGGGCATGAGGCGATGAGGGCCTGCACCTGGGTAGTAGTCATATTAGAGAAGAGAAGAGGGCCTTGGAGAAGTTTCAGATGTAGATAGAGCAAGAAGTCAAGGATGATACCCAAGTTCAAGCTGGGTGACTGGGAGGATGATGGTACCTTCAACAGTAACAGGCAAGTTAGGAACAGAGAAGGGTTGAGAGGGGGCAGGGAAATGAGTTCTGTTTTGGGCATGTTGAGTTAAAGATGTCTGTGAAGTATCCAGGTCAAGGTGTCCAGCTGGCAGTTGGAGATGCCAGACTGAAGGCCAGGAGGGAGGTAAGGCTGGACAAATTTGAAAATCATCGGCAGAGAGATGAGAGTTGAATCCATGGGAGCTGATAAAAATCAAGTGAAATAGGGTAAAGAAGAGCAGAAGGCCCAGGATAGAGCCTTGTAGGACATCAAAGTAATGGTTGTGACCTTGATGAAGATCTAACAAAGTAGATTTAGAAGGAGCAGTCAGTCATGGGGAGAACAATGAGAGAGCAGTGGCACAAAAACCTGGAGAAGAGGGTGAATAAAAGTGAGTATCAGAGGCTGCAGAGAGCTCAAGAAAGAGGAAGATCAAGAAAAGACCATTAGATTTGGTGACTAAGAGGTCATTAAGAACTGTGGAGAGAGACCTTTCAGTTGAAAGGTAAGGTGAGAGCCAGATTACAGAGTTTAATAAATATATCTATATATTTTTGGGGGGGGGCTAGGCAATGGGGTTAAGTGACTTGCCCAGGGTCACACAGGTAATAAGTGTCTGAGGCCAGATTTGAACTCAGGAACTCCTGACTCCAGGGCCAGTGTTCTATCCACTAAGCTACCTAGCTGCCCCTATTACAGAGTTTAAATGAGAGGAAAGTGGAGGCATCCTTTGTAGACAGCCTTCTCCAGAAGTTTGTGAAAAACAAAGAAGGATCCTATATGCACCAAAATATTCATAGCATTTTTTGTAGAAGCAAAGAACTGGAAACAAAGTTAAGGCACATGAATTGAAGATTGCCTGAGTAAACTGGTACACAAATGTATTGGAAAGAAACAATGAAAATGGAGACTTCTGAGATGCATGAGAAGATAAAAGAGGATACAAATGAAGTTAATCAAAAAAACAACATATACAATGCGTAAGACAGTGTAAACAGAATGACAAAAACAAAACAACACTATAATTATAATGGCTAAGTTTGTTCCTGAAGAAGAGATGGAAATGTGTACCTCCATCATATTTTTTTAGAGAGAGAGGAATGAGTGAGAAGAGTGCATTTATGTCTGACTGTTGAGATGTTGGCTAGTTTTGCTGAATTGCTTTTTTCTTCTTTCTTAAAGGCTTTGTTACAAGACATGGCTCTGGAGGGTAGGGGGGGGAGAAAGGGAAGGAATATAGTTGGAAATGAAGGAGATGTAAAAATCAAAGCTGTCTGGCCACACCAATACATCTGTGGAGCCTGGTGGTCTGCTCCTGCAGTTCCCCACTTCTGCAGAGAAAGAAGGGAGGACATTTTCTTTTTCAAAAAGTTATTAAATTTGACTATCTTTTATAGGAAAAGTACATTTTTTTCTCATCTTTGGGGTCAACCTTGGTTGTTATAATTACACAACATTCCATTTCTTTTTAGTTGTTGTATATTGTTTCCTATATGTCTTTCCATTCTTTCAATTCTTCATAATAATTTCTTATAGCTCAGTAAAACTGTACTGCGTGTACTGTACAATACTGTACAATACATGTACTGCAGTTTTTTAAAACCATTCCTCCATTGATGGGTATCTGTTTTATTTCCAAATGCTACCATTTTCTATGGAGGGTGTGATTGTGCCAGTTGGCATCTCTTTTAGAGGATGGAGGATATGAGTCTTGATTAAGTCTCAACAACTGGGTCTTTCCCTGTGGTAAATTGGCTGGTTCAGATTCCTATATGAGGAGCCAGCCTTTGTGCTGGGTCTGTAAATGAAGGGGTCAGTCTTATGAAGGAGGGGAAGTTGGTCCCTTACCCTGTATTTCACCTTTTCTGTGATATTCTGAGAGTGCAGCAGAGCTAGAAGCAAATCTAAGTTCTGGGGGGTGGTAGGGAAAGATGTGAAAAGCTTTGCCCTCATTAATGACTTCCTTGGGACAAGGCACATGTGAGTGACAGGGACTCCTCCAGACCTTCTAAGAATTCCTGGCATTGGTATTGGAGAGGCATTTCATAAACCATCACCCCTGTGGCAGCTGTGGCAAGGAAACCTCATGATCCAAGTGGAGGGAGCACCTACTACAGAGAGAAGGGAGGGAATTTCCTGGGCAGTGCGAACCTTGAGAACGCCCCTCTAGTAACCCCAAGTTTGTGAGGTTCTAGAATGGGAGTTCTTGGGCAGTACCAGTCTCTCAGAGAAAAGAAGATCATGTCCAAACCAGCTATGATTTGGAGGAAGACCAGGGGGAGGTTGGACTTAACCAGATAAAGATCAGAACTGCATTGCTTATGGCCTCCAGAGCACTTATGTATTTTCTGCCTTGTTTATGGGCTCCAATGAATCCCGATCTTCTGTGCAATGGAATAAAGGCTGCATAGGCTGTCAGACCCTGATGACTGTTTCAGAAAATATGAACTGCTTTTCTTTGTTACAAGGGAGGATACTTAATATCTGAACTGTTAACCTGTGGAGCTTGAAACACAAGCTATATTTGAGTGTTAGGCAAAATAACATTCTGAAATTTTCCAGTGTAAAACTCCAAGCCGGGTAATTAAAGAGCCAGAGAGGAATATTGGGAGGATTGGACCTGAAGGAAGGGGTTGGATACAGGTTACAAAAATAACAAGGGTAGGGCTATAACAGTCTCTCCATCCCGTGATAGGTACAGAAGAGACTCTTGCAGATTTTCCGTCTCCAATAATTGCATATCAAAAGCCATCCTTACAGAAATGATGTAAATGAAAATTGAGTTTCCTCCTCCATGATCCTATTCCCAAGCTTTGCCCCAGAGTCGAGTTGGGTGACCTCAGGCATATGCTTTCCGTGAACTCAGTTTCCTTGTCTGTAAAATGTAAAGAATAAGAATGATTGCATTTCCTGCCTTCTCCAAAGTGCATCCCATCCAGCGGTCCTTCCCTCTGGGCCCTGCCTGCTCCTGGCTCCTCTCTCCATCCCCTCCCCTCCTAGGCTGTCAGCGGTGCCGACCCCCGCCTCTTTCGGTCCTCTCTCCCCTGCCATCACTCTTTGTTCCTTTCCAAGGACCTCCCTCTCCGACCCTCCCCCTTCTTCCCCAGGCTGAAATCTGACAAAAGAGCCTCCTGCTGTTCCAAGGAAACCCCGGAAGTGTTGGGGGGAGAAGGGGGACCCTGGGCTTAGCAGGTCCCCTGAGGGGGGGAGGGTCCACTTCCGGCCGGGGGCTCGGCGCCTGTGGATGCTTGGTCAGTGTGTGCCTCTCTCGGGATCCGCGGTCCCGACAAAGCGCTGCCGGCTTGGTGTGGGGGAACCCCTACCTGTATGGGCCCGTGTGCGTGTCCTCGGGAGTCTGCTTTCGGCTGGGTCCTGGGGACCCTTTGGGGCCGGGAGCGGCTCCTCGTCACGCAGAAGGGGTCCGGAGCGCGGGGAAGGGACCGGACAGAACACAGGGAGCTTCCCTGGGAGCTCGGGAACCCCCCCCCCACCGGAGGGCGGAGCGTGGGGACCTCCCCTCACCTAGGCTCAGGACAACCGGGGCCTACCTTGGGAAAGCGAGGAGCTCCCCCCCCGAACCTGAAGAGAGACCGTGGGAACCTCCTTCCCTTGGGAGCGCAGGGAGACCCTCACGACTTGAGGACAGAGTGTGGGGACCTCCCACACCAGAGGGCAGGACACAACTGGGGCCCTCCTTCCCTTGGGAGCTCGGGAAACCTCCCCGCCCACCTGAGGATGGAGCGTGGGGCCCTTCCCTCACCTAGGCTCAGGACAGAACTGGGGCCTTCCTTGGGAAAGCGGGGAGCCCCCCCTGATCTGAGGACAGAGCATGGGGACCTCCCTCACCTGGGGACAGTGCAGAATACAGGAAATCCCACCCTGATCTGAAGACAGATCGTAGGGACCTCCAGTCCAAGAGTGGGGCCGGCCTCTCACCTAGGGGCGGGACGGGTGGAGCTCAGGGACCCTCCAGATAAGTTGGCCGGACAGAGCTTGGAGACCCAGTCATCCGAGATAGGACGGAACAGAACGCAGGGGCCTCCTTCCCCAGGATGGGTGGAGCCTGAGGCACCCCCTCACCTGGGGGCTAGTTGTGCAGAGCGCTGGGGGCAGGGCGGGTGGGGGGGAACTCTGCCTTATCTAGGGGCAGGAAGAGTGGAGCACTGGGAACTCCTGAATCTCCGAGTGAGACCGCCTGACACCACCTCTCACCTGGGGACGGGACAGAACGTGGGATGGGTTGGGCACCTCCCTCAACTGGGATAGGGGAAAGGGGGTAGGAACCGGCAGAGCTCAGGGACTTCACTGCCCTGGAGGCGAGTCAGGAGCCCTGAAACAATTCTCATCTGGAGGGGACCTAAACCAGGGCTGGGCGTCTTGAGGACAAGAAGAGTTGGAGGCTGGCCCTTGGCCTTTAGTGTTACCCTGGGCAAGTCCTTCAATATTTTGTCTTCATTTGAACTTCATTTGTCTACAATGTGCTGGTGGAATAGTTTTCAAAACCTCTTCCAGTTACTTATCTCAGGAGCTCTTGGTGTCTGAGCAGCTTTTAAATGAGGGTTTTGTGACTTGGGGTTAAGTGACTTGCCCAGGGTCACACAGCTAGGAAGTGTCAAGTGTCTGGTCTGAGGTCACATTTGAACTCAGGTCCTCCTGACTTGAGGGCTGGTTGCTCTATCCACTGCACCACCTAGCAGCCCCTTTAAATGAGTTTTAGCGGTAGCTTTCCAACAAGCTCTGCAAGGCTAGGAGAGGGGTCTCCCAATCGAGGCCCGAGGAGGCCAGTCAGGCAGCAGTAGCATGAATTGATGGTTCCAGTGGGGGCCTAGAGTGTAACAGAGAAGCTGCAATTCCTTTTGGTTGTGTCTCTGCTCCTAAAAGGGAGAAGCTTGGGAAAGAGGTGAGGGGGAAATCATCACTCAAAGGGAGAAAGGACCTCAGAGAGCTCCTTGAAGACAGTTTTCATGTTTTTATTCCCAGTACTGTTTATTTTTCCGAGTAGAAACTTAAAATAGGTTTTGGGGGCATCTATTCCATTTACATCGAGAAGAAACTTGTCATTGAGAAAAGGACTATGATTCCATTCATTATCCTGGTGACTGCCCAGGCCTAAACAGCTCTGATTACTACTTTTCTGTAGGTATGGTTTTTCATCAGAATATAAACTCAAGGGCAGATGTCATCTTCATTAAATTATGCATATATTTATATCCATGTAGAGTGCCCAGCCCAGGGGGAAGTTGAAAAGAAATGTTGGTTAGACATAAGGAAAAACTTATTAACAAAACAGTGAAATGAGCTCCTAGGTAATGGAAGTCTAAACTGGAAGGTTCTCTTTCAGAGGAGTCTGAAGGGGATTCTTCTGAAATCCCTTCCAGCTTTAAGATTTATAAAATCTATTCCTTTTGTGTTTATTTTCAGGAGGACTGCGTATCCTAGCCTGAGTTCCTTGACATTCATCCTTTTCTACCTCTAGGCCCAGAGTGGCCTCAAGCTCCCAGAAAGCAAGGTAATTTAATGCAGGACAAAATCTGTTTGTTTTCCTCTGCTTAGCTACTGTTGGTTAAGTAGAGAGCTTAATAAGTTGGCCAGTGGGTCTGCCAGGCTCTTTAAATGCACCATCCCTGTTCAAGATGGGCCCTTGGGACAGATTAGTAGAGATAATAACAGGATATGTTGATATTTATGTGTTATTTACATGTATTTACGGTGTCTACCATTCCAATAAACTGACTCAGAGCTACTTCCCTACCAACCCAAACATCTCTGGTGTGTGCGAGGTACTATTAAGACTTAGGCCCTGTATGTAGTTTTAGTCACTGGAAGGAGAAATGGCCTAAGAGCCATCTCCCAGACAAACCAACTGAGGATCTCATTGGTATAGGAAAGACCAACCCCCCCCAAAAAAAACAAGTTTGGGTACATCTGGAATTCCTGAAGATATAGGGTCCAGTGTGTGCAATTGGGCTTAAGTGCCTGCCTATCTCGCCCAAGAAAATAGCGAAGGCAAGGTTTTCAGCTTGGAGCCAGCCTATTCCCAGCAGAACAGACTGAATCCAGATTCCAGGGTCAGAGGCCTTCAAATGTCCTTGGACTCTGAAGTGTGTTAAAGGCCAGTGAGTTTCCTTCCTGTGCCTAAGCTGAAAGGAACGTTAATACAAAGCCACTTTTATTACATCCTGGCCTTTTCCTCCTTCCTTATCACCTCCTTTTCTGCCCCAATGCGGTTTTGTAATTTCCTAAACTAGTTTTGGTATCCAATTTGAGCTGGAGATTTTAACAGTGGCATTAAAATCTGATAGTTGAGCAAAGTACCATGTTAACTTCATGGAATAGATGAGACTCTATTCATACCTGGGGTGTTTGGGGATGTTTCTGAGCTTCCTACTGTAGGACTTAGAGCTGGAGGGATCTCCATGATCATTTGGTACATCTCCCTCATTTCAGAAATGAGGAAATGGGCTCTGAAAGGTGAATGACTTGTTCACAGTTGGGATTCAAACTGATAGGTTCTTTCTTTTTTTTGACACCATTCTTCTTGGAGTTTAGACTACCATCGTAACCATATGCTTTCCCTTTCTCATTTTACCAGGACAAGTCTTCTTTTCCTCGAGTCCTATCTGCATGACAACAGGAAGTTTCCTTGGAGATGGCAGCCCCGGGTCCACCAAGCAGGTCACCTCCTGTTCTACCTGTCATCTCATTCTCCCCCCCTGAAGTACAACCTGGATCCCCACACCACCAGGCTCATCTTCACTTCTATCATCATCAATATGGTACTCACTAATTTCTTAGAGTAATACTGTCCTCTTAGAATAAATGAAAAAGCATTTGTTACCTTTCTACTATGTGCCAGGCAATGTGCTAAGCACTGGGATACAAATATAAACAAAGAGTCCCCGCCATCAAAGAGGGGAAACTGATACATGTGGCTAGGGACGGGCATTTTGGTCCAGAAAGTTAGAGAGGCCAACCCCCTTCCAAGAGCAGTGGCAGTGATGAGATGTGTGAGGGACTGGGAAGACAGATGTGGGGCTCTGCAAGTTTAATCACTGGAAGGAGAAGTGGTAACCTCAGAGCCCTCTCTACAACAAGCCAACTAAGGGTCTAATTGGTGTGATATGGAAGACAAAAAAAAATCAGACATCATGTCATACGGTACAGCAATAAACCTTCCACATCACTGCCATTTCCTGACCTTTCTCTGTGAAGCTGTGAAGGACTTGGGAGATTCTCACTGACTATCCCATAAAGATGAGGTTGTAAGTACGAACCTTTGACCTTTGTCTGTAAAACGAGGGGTTAGACTAGGTGATTTCTAAGATATTTTTTAAGGTCTATACCCTATGCTCCTCAAAAGGAGGCTGGCCATTTATTCTCTGTCTGAAAAGCCTCTCAGGGCGGCCCATTCCACTTTAAAAAAATATATATAAATGTATACATATATACATATATTTTTTATTTTCCCCCAATTACATGTTAAAACACTTTTTAAACATTTTTTTCAAAGTTTTGAGTTCCAAATTCTATCCATCCCTCTTTCTCTCCCCTCTTCCCTCCCTGAGATGGTAAACAATTAGATGTAGGTTATACATTATATGTGTAATCATGCAAAACATTTCCACGTTAGTCATTTTGTACAAGAAGACTTGAATAAAAGAAAAAGAATGAAAGAAAGAAGGTGAAAAATAGCGTGCTTCAGTCTGTGTTCAAACAACATCAGTTCTTTCTCTGGAGGCAGATAGTGTGCTTCGTAATTAGTCCTTTGGGATTTTCTAGGATCATTGCACTGCGAGAATAGCTAAGTCATTCACACTTCTTCATCATACAATATTTCTGTTACTGTGTACAACATTCTCTTGGTTTTGTTCACTTCACTTTGCATCAGTTCATGTAAGTCTTTCCAGGATTTTCTGAAATCATTCTTTCTGGTCATCATTTTTTATAGCACAATAATATTCCATTACAATCATACACCACAGTTTGTTTAGCCATTCCCCAGTTGATGGGCATCCCTTTGCTTTCTAATTCTTAGCTATCACAGAAAGAGCTGCTATAAATATTTTTGTACAAATCGGTCCTTTCCTCTTTTTCTATGTCTTTGGGCTGTAGGTCTAGCAGTGGTATTGCTGGATCAAAAGGTATGCACAGTTTTATACCCCTTTGAGCATAGTTTCAAATTGCTTTCCAGAATGGTTGGATCAGCTCACAAATTCACCAGCAGTGTATTAGTGTCCTAGTTTTCCCATATCCCCTCAAATATTTATAATTGTCCTTTTTGTCATATTAGTCAATCTGATGGATGTGAAGGTTATTTTAATTTGCATATCTCTAATCAGTAGTGATTTAGAGCATGTGTATATGACTATAGATAGCTTTGATTTCTTTGTCTGAAAATTGCCTGTTCATATCCTTTGACCATTTATCAATTGGAGATTTATAAATTAGACTCCGTTCTCTATATATTTGAAAAATGAGGTCTTTATCAGAGGTACTTGTTGCAAAATTCCCCTCCCCCCACTTTTCTGCTTTCCTTATAATTTTGGTGGTATTGGTTTGTTTGTGCAAAAGCTTTTTTAATTTAATGTGATCAAAATTATCTATTTTATGTTTTGTAATTCTCTTGTTTGGTCATAAATTCTTTCCTTATCTATAGATCTTACAGATAAACTATTCTGAGATCTTCTAATTTGCTTATGGTATCACCTTTTATGTGTAAATCATGTACCTTTTTGACCTTATCTTGGAATATGGTGTGAGATGTTATTCTATACTTAGTTTCTGCCATACTGTTTGCCAGTTTTCCCAGCAGTTTT